ACGATCAATGCATTCCTAAAACCTCTCAAATGCATGGGCAAAAAGGTCCCCTTGTTTTCACAATTTTTCATAGGGGGTTGTCGAGGTAAACACCAAAACCCATCTGTGCCTTCATCGTAATAGGTTCCACGATATGGGGATAATTTCCACTGCATAAATTACAGGGACCGATGATTCTCCGCTAAGAAGCTGACCAATAATTGAGGCCCCATGTACGCAAGTCCCCTTAAAGGCTTTTCCATAAACATTTTTTTTTTTCAAGGCACTACCAGGCTAACAAAAATGGCGCAACAAAATGAAGGATTTTGTTTGGTTTACTCTGTGCGAAAGGAAACGCTTGCGCTTTCGCAATGAAAGGTTATATGATAACTGCGCTGCGATAAAGGCACATATCCTGCAGACTGCGCAGGGATATGCGGAATTATCCTAAGGTGTAAAATATAATATATTTCTCATAGAGGCATAAATTGAATTATCTGTGATAATATTGTTTTATACTTGATTTGAAAGAAGGATATGGAAATAACGAACAGTATTCAATCTCAACGTCCATTAAACAAATATACAATCGCGATTATACCATTTTAAGATTGATGCAAAATATTAAAAAAGAAAAATATATACATGTACACGTGTATATATTCACACATATTTTATATACACAACATATTGTAAATACAGAAATTTTCAATAAGCTTATATTAATGGGGTTTTATGAAGAGACTTACTTTTGCAGTTGACGACTAACTTTTACAATTTAAACACAAATAAACTCCATTTACTAAAATGTAAAAGTCAGCTGTCGAATGTAAATGTAATTCTCTTCATAAAACTCCTATATTTGACAAATGTACTTTGCAAGTTATGCGTAAGCATTCAAGAAATTTATAAGAATGAGAAGAGATTTAAATTAAACTACATTAATTTTATATACAGCATCAAACTTATACTACAGCAAAGTAAACCTCAAAATACATTTGCATGAAAAACATTGCGTAAACATAGTATGCATTCAATGGACACTACATGTATATTCATTTATAAACATTTTATCCCATTGCATGTCTACACTGAACATCTTGTATTCTGAGATACGTCGCTTCCTTTAAATTATGATGCGGTTCTACTTTAAGAGAATTCTGATAAGACAAAGGCGCCTCCTGATAGTCTTCACAAACTTCTTGACAGATCCCAATAATCTGCCACGATATACCTCTAAATATTGTCTTAATATGACGCTCTTTGTCAAAATGAAGGGGGAAGTCCAATTCATCAAGAGCTTTGTGTTGTTTTTGTGGGTTTCCACGATTACACAACACTAACAACATTAGTACCATAACATATGGAGGTACATCAATAAAATTTCGTGCTACCAAACTAAATTCAAATTCCGTTCTTTTAACATGATCATACGTAAGTCAATGTCCACTTCTACAGTTTTCCCCATTCTTTCCATAAGTGGCAAGCTTCCAATCTCTCTATTATAACAATCTATATCTACAATACGATTATAAATGATATAAGGCTTTGTAATCTTCTCTTTTATCAAAGCCATAATTCATCATATTTATATGGAAGCACCTAGGTATGGTAGATTCAAGTATGTTCAAATTACGACTCCCTTGGGTAAGGCGTAGCCACAATGGCCGACCACAGTTTGACATAGACATATATAGGAAAATTCCTTAAAACTGAAGGTGAAATTCCGATCCATGAAAGAAATGATACGGGACACAGCGACTCAGACTGAGGTTATGTTGTAATAAATCAAAAGCAATTGACATGCTGGGCTAGCTGATAAATGTCGACATGTCCCACAGTGGGATTCGAATTTGCTACATTAGGATCAACTCCTAATTTCGCAACTCTTAGAGCAGACGCTCCAACCAATGCAAATTAGTATAAAAAAACGTCAGTTAGCATTTGACTTAATGATATTATGTATTGCTGACATGGTCATTGTATCGATCGTGGAACTTACTGTAAACTACGGGGAAAAGTAACATTAAATAATTGTTACGTCACATGGATCTAGCACACAAACTAGAGGTACTATGAGTACTCAACTCACTAAATGATATCCCCGCATCTATTGTTGTTATTCTTTCATTTGACAAATGTTCACTTACTGACTTTGTCATTCTTGTAGACATTGCTTTAAAATTAAACGTCATTTTGTATGTAAGTAGTGAGTGGGAGAAGGAGTAGAGGAATGTTAAAACATCAAAATGCAACTTTTTATAGTTTTAATATGCGTATAAAAAGTAAATCCATACTTTTCACCTTTACCGACCGCTTAAACTTTGCTAAAATTGTCAATGATTCCTGCCAACTGGCTATCTCAGTGTGCCATGCATTTTTTGTACAGCTGGTCTGCACACTTTTAAATTATAAGAGAAACTTTGCATATTATTTTTTACATGTACACATTTCTTTGTAATTGTTGTTTAACACATTCTGTTCTAAAATATGTAGCTTCTTTTATGCCCTGGAATGGTTCCTGTCTGAGCGACTCTTCATAAGACCGTAACGCCCCGTGTAAGTCTCCCACAACTTGTTGACAGATCCCTAGTACCTGCCAGGATAGGTCTCTGGTGTATAAAGGAACATATGTCCCGTCATCATAGAGCAATAGTGTCTGTAGGTCTGTCAGCGACTGTAAACACTGAGATCTATTACCCAGTCTATAGTGAGATAACACAGACAACATCTCTACTATAACAAATGGTGGTAAATGTTGGTCTTGCCCTCCGTTTTGTTGACTAACATTTTGTTCTAAAAATAATTCTTCAATACATGGAACATTGTGAAATAAATACACATCATCCACCCAGACCAATCCCATTCTTCTAGACAAAGATAGATTACCTACAGTTTTATTGTACCTTTGTTTATCAAAAATATATTGATATATAATAAAGTCATCTAACAATTTTCGTTTAGTGAGATTACTGAATCGTACTGCTTTGTCATATCGTCTTGTTCTGTAGTAATACAATGCGAGATAAAGTAAATAAGGCACAGTCCCTAATCTTGCTGCCATTTTCAACATGCCACAAATTTTTGTATCTAAGTTATAGATATTTTTATGGGTGCAATATGAAGCACTATTTGTCATTATAAAGGCTAAACGAACAAGAATCTGAGCAGTATAGTACTGTAATAGTAATAATTGGTGTGGTGAGCTTGAAAACCGAAATAGTGCGTTAATTGATTTTAAATAAAGATACGATTCCCATATGTGTTGAGCAGGAACTCTTAAGCGCTTGAATTCACGTATGCCACATATATCTAAATTTGCAATACTTATGAATTCTCCCTCAGCAGGAGATAATACAAAGGACGGGCTACTGAGGGCTGGTTCAAGGATTGATCTGAGAGTCGGACTCGACAGTAGACAGGACACGCCCATTGTGTAATACTGATAAAGTTGTTGTAAAAGAGATTCACGTGAATCATCAACAATTTTGTTCATGAACATGTTGTTCTGTGGGATAAAAAAATTAGGGAAAACCCCACGATAAACACAATGAAGAAGATATTTCAAACACTTCCAAAAGCAATCCAGTAAGTTGTTTGGACACCACCTCACTTGTCCTAATTGCATCATCCAGAACATTGTGGTTTTCATGTAATATGAACACAGTAATTTATCCTCCGCACAATTGATAACTTCCTTCAGAAATATTTTCAGGAGTCCGTAACATAGAAATTGTGCATGATTCATGGTACACACTAGTTGTTGCTCGGCTTGAGAAAATGATAACCTCCATTCCAGTTCGTTAGGAGTCACATCAACTTTACTACCAATAGGCATACAGTGACATTCATTTTTTAGGATTTTTTCTAACACATATACCGGCGGCCAGGTGTGTCTATGGCATCTTTCAATCCAACCTCCTAATAGTTTAGGCCAAGGAAATGTGGCTAAACAGTAAGCTACATCGAATTCAATAGGTCCAATGAAATTACTACTACAAGGACCATGGATTCTGACATTTTCGGGGTTAGGAACTGTCTTAATCCTGTGTTGAAAATAGTGTTCTCTCCACAGCAGACTTGATAAATAAGCCCCGCCATTTAAGAAAACAAGACATGGTACCATGCCTATGTATGGCAATGGTGTCAGGAGGCGTAATCTGACAAATCCTGGTGGTGTATCAGAATCTTCCATTAGCATAATGATATGCTTTGATGTATTATAAAACCGAGACTGGGAGATTTCAGTAATTAATTTATAATTACAAAACCATAACATTATATCAATGTCAGATGAAATCAGCCGAAATCCCTCTCTATGACTACCACTCTCCATTCCAGCACATCCTTTATGATTATTAACAGGTTTTATTATCATTTCCCTCGTGTCCTTCACGTCCCTTCTGATGGCCACTTCTGTCGGTGTCCCTATCTTACGACACAGACCAACATACAGGACCTCTGATAGACGGGGAATGGGATCCATCCTGTGAATAGGTTATGTTTATTTAATCATTATTGAAAGGAAAGTCAGAATTTTATATCATTTTTTGAGAAATTTAACATTCCTGATAGATATTAAAATGAACAAAATTATACATACATGTATATGTAACACTATAAGGGTTTTTCTTGTATTCTCTTCAAATGGCGGGCTGTGTTTGATCTGTTAAAGGGAAATACCGATATCCAGAAAATCTTGTTTCGTTTTCTGTTTAAGCATTAGAAAAGTTATTGATGGAACGCCTTGTGAAAAACTTTCATTATATAATGGTATTTTGGCATTATATGATGGTGTTTCGTCATTATATGATGATATTTTGTCATTATATGCTGGTACTTTGTCATTATATGATGGTATTTTGTCATTATATGATGGTACTTTTTCATTACATGATGGTATTTTGTCATTATATTATGGTATTTTGTCATTATATGCTACAACTTTTCATTAATGATGGTATTTTGTCCTTATATGATGGTATTTTGTCATTATATGCTACTAGTTTTCATTAAAACATTGCTGTGATGTCAATGCTTTGTTCTTGCACTCTAAAAATTTACCTTTGGCAGTCCGATATTAGTGAGCAGTCTGATATTAATCGTAATATCAGACTGTCTCAGCATTGATATCCTTCAAAATTGGACTGCAACTGAACAAAAGAAATAAAAGATGTGTTTATTTACCAAAAATCAATTAAAATTTCTAACATGATGATTTAGAAAGTTAACATTGCACTTACAGAATTGCAAAAAAAAAAAAATCAAACTTTCATTTACATCGAATATAGTATGATAGGAAGAAGCACATGCAGCAGACCAGATAATGCAAAGTAAAAACAAAAAATACAAAAAAATCGGTAAACTTCTAATAAACGTATTAAAATTAGAAAAGTGTTTCAACCCCTTTCTCTTGTTTTTGACAAAGACTGGACTCACTGGGGGTCCCCAGAGAAGGAAATAAACTTTCAAAGCCCAAACAATAAATTCATAATAAAACACAAATTTCATTTTTCTTATTAAAAGGAAAATGCATATAGATGCAAAATCAAGGTAACTAGGCCTAGTATATGATAATTAATGCTCAATTTGAAAGATTGGCAGCGTTTCCCTAAAAACTCCTTGATTATTGATTATGTTTGTTTTTTTCTGTATTATGAAACATCAAAAACATAGGTATTTGTTGACGCTTATCATAAAAAATAAAATAGACTAGTGTACCTTTAATTAGAATCTGCATAATATTCTGTAAATATTCTTCAGGGTTCTCCATGAGCTGTTTTACTGTGTTGCTCCCAACACAGTTAAATTTTCTCCGACACAGTAACGATTCAAATTCCATGCATGCGACACAGTAAAACTTTTGCCGACACAGTAAGAGTTGTGATAATTAGAAAATCTAAACACACAAATTATCTCTAACTGAAACTTTAATCGAGCATGCAATTCTACCGTCTTTCAATTCAACAAGTTATAACACTTAATTACTAGAGCTTCACCTTGAGTAAACAATCAATTATCTCCTAGACCGTCGCCGGACTTTACGCATGACGGAACAAAGACAAATAAATTGTTTTCACAATTCAATGTTCCAGTTAATTAATTAGTAGTTGTAATAAAATACATTGTATTTATGAAAAATATATAAAAATGTCTTTCCTTATAGAGTCACGGCTCTAGAATTATGTAAGGACTGTAAGTCAAACATAACATCGTACCGAAGTCATTTAACTGATGTTCAAGGAACTCTTTCAAATATTTTACTGTTCTGAAGTTCCTTTTTTGTAATGTGGTAACACGATCAAGAAACCTGATAAACACGGCAAAGGATGACTGCACTTAAGGAAACTTAGAAATTGCGACATAATTAATTTTTAAAATGGGCATTTCTCTTTCAATGGCAGAAATGGTCAATGTCTTAACTGCAACTTTGTGTAATTACGTTAATTAAAAGTTCGTATTAACGAAGTTCGAAGTCGTTTTTATAGGGAGGGGTCATCGCATATTCTGGAATCTCCATAGGATAATGAGTACGCCCATCTTTTTACAGGCTTAATACATAGTCAGCGCATGTTTGTCTATTGATCTCCTTTTTATGGTAGTTGTATATTTATATATATTACCTCATATTAAAAGGAGATCAATAGACAAACATGCGCTGATGGTTAAAAAGAGAAAAAACTGTTTCTTCTGTGTTCACTTTCTCTATAGTATACTGGCCATTTTGACCACGTTGTTACCTGTTGAATATTATAATAAACCACGTGATTTCTATACCCAGGTAACTCTGTGAATACTAAAATTCCATCACGTGACGTGTAAGGAAACACGCATTCTGCTTGCCGATAGTGATTGTTCGTATCTGTTTCAATTCATTCCCATCGAGCCACGGGATATTTTTTTTTCTCTTAGATATCAATAAGATTATTGTTATATTTATCTCATAAGCGTTTCATTTTACTATCCTTATATATTTTTGAATGCATGTCTCTACATGTTCGTAGTCTACAAGAAAAAAGAGATTTATTTATTATGTTTTGAATCATTGCTTAACATGAACATCCAAAGTAAGATCCAGTAAATAAAATTGAAATCATACCATCCTCAGCACGCTAATTTATTGGGAAAAGTAATTATAAAAGAAACTAAAAAAACACTTGAGTAATTGTGATGTTTTTCTTTCTTTGTTATAAAAGGGAAAAAAGAAAGTCAGTCTTACTGTTGTTATCGGGTCTCGATCCCGGACCTACATATAATTGATTCTGTGCATTACCAACTGAGCTAGTCGGCACTTATATTCGAACACGCGAATTATTGATATATGCCATTGCTGTTGATTATTAATGAGAATGGCTACTTCTACCGGTCGATGTTATTTGTTATTAGTTATATATACTTTATTTGAAAACTTAAAAAATAATATTGACAAACATATGACGAGAGAGAGAGAGAGAGAGAATGCACCAAATATAAATACAGTAGCTATTCTAATTTTAGACCACTAGCTCATCACAATATTAGCTCCACCTCTTATGCATATTTATAAATCTTATCTTCAATCAAGAGCAGATAAGTCTAATTTCCCAATATTTGCAGAGAGGTGGGGTAAGGAAACAACGAATTATTTCATTGCAACGCAGTTTATAACATTTATGACATTGCATTTCATTTGGAAATAGACCTAACTCTATAATAAATGACTTGAAACAAAAATAAAACCAAAAATAAATGTAACAACAGAGATCGAAAAAGACCCAAAAACCGGCGTTAAGTGCAGTCATCCTTTACTTTCAAAAATGTTAAGTAGTTCGACTACTCAGAATTTCCTCTTCTTTTCAGAACGTTTTTTTTGTTCCTTTTATCTATATGTACGAGCAAATCATTGGTGTAACGAATTAGCTATTTTTGTAATTACAAATGTGTGTTTTTAATCTTTTCTAGTTGTGATTCAATTGCAAATTTGTTCACGAAAATACCGCGAAATATTAGTGCTTCGCATATACTTTGCAACACAGTAAAATTTCAAATGATGGAAAACCCTGATTCTTCATATCGTTAATTTCCCTTCATTTCAAATTCATCATTCACTAGATTGTATAATAATTCGTTGCACTAATTTAATCTCCGTGTATGTTTAAATGAAGAAAAGTTTTGTCCCGACTCTCCTTTTCAAATTCTTTCAAATACTTTCTTCAGTGTAGCCAAATCACTAAATACGGAGTACTTTTCACTTAAGCCTGCTGCTTCGGTGGTCATTAACACCTTTATCTTTTGTTCTAATATCGGACTGTCTCGGGTAACTCAAAAGCAATGTTTTAAGTACGATATATGCCTCATACAATTCTGTATTAAAAAATATCAGACAGTTTGAGGCTCTAACGGGCCTCAAATTCTCTGATATTTTTTAATACAGAACTGTATTCGCCATATATCCAATACTTATATGCTACTACTTTGTCATTATATGCTACTACTTTTCATTATTTTCATCATTCATTAAGAATTCAATCTGATGGACAGTAGCGATATCATGTGGTTCTGTGTGCCATGCCGAGAAAAGTTTAAGAAAAATATCATTGTGGACAGAGAAATTGAGAGATGTAAAGACATGATGAAGATGTTCGACAGTAGAATTAAGTATCCGTAGGACGAGCTGGAGAAGAAATGCAGTGAAAATCAAGTGAGGGAGATAGTTTCTGAGGCAATACAGAAATCAACAGAATCAAATCAAGCTGATACAGAGGACGAGACTGCTAGAGAATCTGGAAAACACACCGTGCCAGTATCAGCAGTACTGAGTGAATTAATGAGAGGAAAAACAGAGAATGTAACATGATCATCTATCTGATAGAGGAAAATGACTCAGACAATAAGGAAGTACGTCATTCCTATGACAAAGATCAGGTGAAAGAAATTGCTGATGTTTGTGAAGTGAACATCACAGATGAAAGCATAATAAAGTTAGTGAGACTTGGTAAATTTAATAAGGATAAGAAACGCCGTCCATTGCTCGTTACCTTCTCATCCTCAGAAAAGAGTGGAGTTCTTTAAACGAGGTGGAAAGTTGCGGGAAACGATTGAATTCAGTGAAGTACGACTCGCAAATGATTTGACACGCACAGAGAGGGAAAATGAAAAGAAACTGTATATGAAAGCCAAGGAACTGAATAAAAATGGTTCGGGGGGATTCAATTACCGTGTGCAAGGAAAGTGGTAAAGCTCAGGGTAAGCGATCCAGACTAGAAGATACAAAGAGGAATGTAAATAATGTATATAGTTTTAAAGTAATAAACAAACTTCGTTCTTTTACACCAATGCAGAACAATTTAGAAATAAGTTCGAAGAGTTCCAGGTCAGGATAAGGGACACAAAGCCATTGACAATAGGAATAACAGAAGTGAAGGCAAAAATGCACTGCGTGCACATAATCCAGCTGAATGTACGATGGATTGGACGAAGGAATACAGGATGTTTCATGTAAATATTGAAAGCAGCATAGGTAGAGGACTACTTTTATATGTACATGATTCTCTTTTTGCAGAGGAGGCAAAACTTTCAGCGTCCTTTGAGGAGCAGCTTTTTGTGAAAATAAAGATAAACAGCACAGACTATTTCCTAGTTGGCCTCATTTATCGGTCAACGTCAGACAATACCGAAAAAACAGAAAAAAATGAATGTTTAAGAAACCTGATAACTGAAGCCTCAAGAATAAAGTGCAACCACTATCTCATTATGGGAGATTTCGACTATCTTAATATAGACTGGGATTTACTGTGTACAAAAAGTGATAACTCTGCTGAGCAGAAATTCATAGATTGTCTGCAGGACAACTTCATGTTCCAAACCGTCACAAAACCATCAAGGTGGAGAGGAACGAACATTCCAACCATTTTGGATCTTGTGATCACAAAGGATGAAAATGCTGTGGAGGAAATGGTAACCAAAGCGGATTAGGAAATAGCGACCACTTATCTGTTTTAACGATGTTTGCAGTACAATACTGAAAAGTATATTAACTCAAAAAGTACTTTTGTCCTTTATTTGCCAATTTACTACCACGTTTTACGCCATAACTAAGACTGGCAACGAAGATGAATTGTATACATAGTGGAAACCTAGAGCTTTAAACATTTTATTTTTTAAATAAAATGTTCAAAAACGTGAAAAAAAATTAAAATCCGCTTGCATGGAAAAAGGGAACTTATATTTTTTCATTAATGTTTATAAAGCAATAAACGTTTTTAAAAACAAATTTACATATCATAGCGTATCTGAATTTATTTTTCAATTGAATTTTTGGTGATACAGAAAATTCATGGTGTTTTTTTATTATTATTATAGTAACAGAAGAAAGTTACGTGCGTGTGTAATTGTGAGTGAATGCTGTCTCACAAGTTTTTTTAATTATCGGAATCGATGTTCTTTTTGAGAGGGGTGCCCCTATTTGCTCGTGGTGTCCTTCTGCATGGGATTCTCTATCTATATATGTATATATTTCTTTTAATCTTTAAGTGTTACAAATTCTTTATATATTTTATAAATTTAATTAGATTATTTGATATAAAAAGAATGATTTTTATGGATTTTTAAAACAATATATTATTCACCTACTGATTATGTTATAAACCGTTCCTTCATTCTGTCTAGACCCCCCTCCCTTTTACGAATTACTAGATCTGCTCTAAAATTAGCATGGAAATAGTAATAACATACGAAATCCCTCAGGAATAGTTAAATACTAGTCGTTTGGGGGAAAAAATTAAATACTTTCTCATATTTTAAATGCTCAAACCGATTGAGGTTATTCAAATAACACGTGATTTTAAGATTTTTTGAAAATTGAATAAGACGCAGGCGACGTCATTAAATTTTCAGTGAGTAACGTCAGAGTTATTTTTGAAGCGCCTCACTAAAATGCTTATAAAAAATCGAAAAAGTGAGATATTTTCTAAATTTATGTATATTTGCATTCAGAAAGAGTCCGGCAATCAAAATTTACCAAAAAGTCAATTTGTGAAAATTTGACCTTAAGGGCCCTTTTCTCGTGACGGCAGTCATATTGTTTCATACGCTGGATCTATTATACGTAGCTTATAAAGAAAGAAAATTCATTTTCTAGCGTTCAACAAAAGTTATAGGAAAATCAAGATAAACATCTTAAAAAGAAAAAATATATATCAGAGAGTAAACTTTAAATGTCTTAAATCCTGAGCAATAGTCCATGTGATCTAAATCCTATAAAAAAAATAGACTTGATTTTGTCTAAAAGTGTATGCTCATTCCACACTTTTCTGGTATTTCTTAAACTTATTACCCTCTCTCTCTCTCTCACCTCGATATTTAGAGATATCGACGACGTATTATTGATTTCATTTCTATTCAGATATCAACTCGGTATTATACAGTGAAACTGAAATAGAAAGATACCTCAGTGTCTGATATGCTTGTTTCATATTTAAATATTTTATGAGGAATAAATGGTTAAGAGTACCTTTATACAACATAAGCGCTTTGATTAAAGTTATGAATTCTACTTTTCCAGTTGATTTGATAAGCAAGGCATTCTCTTTACGTACGAACGATTAAGATTACGTATCAACAAACAAGTTGGTGAAACAAGGATTCCAATTGTCTCGTTTTAAGTCAGCATTTCGCAAGTTCTCTAGCTGATATAATGACCCAGTTAGCAAAAAGATATTAATAAAGTCGTACGTACATTTGTATTTTGTAAGGCAATAAAATGTACTTGCATTTACCGACAAGAAAAATAAATTTTATGATCAAATAAAATTATAAATAGCAAGTAAGTACTTAAAATTTCTTTGTTTTTTTTTGATAAAATAAACATTCTGACGAGCAGTATTTCATGTACACAAGTTTAATATATATTTTTTCATAGCAATGTTTAAATACAGTTTTAAAAGTATAACAATGATTTATATTCAAACAAACGAGGAGAGACAGAATATAGCTATATTCATTTTGAAAACATGTAGAGGTGAACATCAGTACATAATTTTTTTTTATATTTACTTTCGCTTTGTTTTTCTACTAAGCCAGCTGTGAAATTGATTTGAAAATCATTTTCGTGTATTCTCAAGCGTAGAAATATACACAGAGAAACGTGCGTTATCGTGGCGTCACAATACCGCTACAGCGACATAAGTAAAAGTACATGTATAACAATATAGGGCAGCGAGAAATTCAAATATTGAGTATATTTTCGGTGCTTCCAAACATGTAAAATGTAAATATAAGGAATGTTTTTAAGTTTAGTGTGAATTATTGGTGTGAGAATCACAAAGACATGCACGAAAGCATATTTTTCATTAAGCGCTAGCGCGCTTCATCAAAAATGCCAACGTGACAAGTCTGTGTGATTCACACACCAATAACTCACACAAAACTTAAAAACTTTGATCCCTATAAAATTTTATGTTGTATTACTATTAAACCCTCAGGTTTAGGCTGCATGGGTTAGGGTTAGCATAAGGGTTAGGTTAGTCAGGGTTTGTCTACAAGGGTTAGTGTTAACATTAGGGTTAGGGTTAACATTAGGGTTAGGGTTACATGTTGGTTACTCAGGGTTTGTCTGCATGGGTTAGGGTTAGCATTAGGGTAAGGGTAAGCATTAGCGTTAGGTTAGTCAGGGTTAGGCTGCAAGGTTAGGGTTAGCATAAGGGTTAGGTTAGTCAGGTTTAGGCTGCAAGATTTAGGGTTAGCATTAGGGTTAGGGTTACATGTTGGTTAGTCAGAGTTTGTCTGCATGGATTAGGGTTAGCATTAGGGTTAGGGTTAGCATTAGCGTTAGGTTAGTCAGGGTTTGTCTGCACGGTTAGGGTTAGCATAAGGGTTAGGTTAGTCAGGTTAAGGCTGCAAGGGTTAGGGTTAGCATTAGGGTTAGGGTTACATGTAGGTTATTCAGAGTTTGTCTGCATGGGTTAGGGTTAGAGTTAGGGTTAGGGTTAAAAAAGAAATACATGATGCTTTTGCTAAAGGTAAAAGAACACTTGGAATTGATATCACGTGACCTAAGGAAATGAAAAAATCCTATAAATATTCAAGGATCATCTTTAAAGAAGTTGTACAATAAAATACACTTAAATAAGTATATGACCTGCTCTTCCTGCTTTAAATGACTAATTAAGTGAAGCTTAATGAAGTAAAAAAAATCGTACTTCATTTTCCAATGTAGATATGATATGCATAGAAGTTTTCTTGATTTCGTAATGCAAAAATCTTCCATAATTTTACGGGAATTAAAACAACTTGTATTTTAAGAATTTAATAAAGGTGATGCGTTACAAACGCACATATAACCACCAAAATAGGTTTTGTGTATAAAACCAGAACCAACAATGTCAAATACATGTAATTACTCATTTACCATTTTCCACCACATTTTTAATCATATAGAATTTCATCATTTATACTGTGCACATCGTCAAGACAAATGCTTCTTTTTAGGTTCCGAGTCATTTGATCAAGCACATAAAATATGAACGAATGCTTTGTTTCGTCAAGGAGTGGAGATTTTAGAAATTAGCATTGCTTGTCTTTCGTTTTAATATATCAAGTATAAATGCAAATTGACATTGTGTACTTGCTCGTCATGTAGAAGCCCATAACTTCAGTCATACAAATAAATAGACATGAGTCATCGTATAACTGGAGAAAGCTCCGAAAACAGAATGATCGACTTATAAATATTTGATGAACCTCTTAGGATGGCGGAAGAAAGCAATTCAGACGTTACTTGAAACAATCACAATTATACCATTTTGAGATTAATGCAAAATAGTAAAGAGAAAATTATATAAATTTATAAATTTTCACATATATTTATTATACACAAACATATTTTAATACAGTAGTTTTCAATAAGCTTTTTATATTCGACAAATGTGATTTGCAAGTTATACGTAAACACTCCAGAAATTCATCAAAGTGAGAACAGAATAATAAAAACATGAATTTTATATAAAACATCTAACATATACTACAGCAAAATAAACAAGAAAATACAATTGTATGAACACTACTGCATAGATATAAAGTCTTTAGTTCGATGAATACTATTCATTTAGAGACATCTTTATCCCATTGCGTGTCTACACTGAACATCTTGTATTCTGAGATAAGTCGCCTCCTGTAAATTATGGTGCGGTTCTTCTTTTAGAGATTTTTGATAAGACAAAAGTGCCCCCTGATAGTCTTCACAAACCTCTTGACAGATTCCAAGAATCTGCCACGATATACCTCTTAATATTTTCTTAATATGACGTCCTTCGTCAGAATGGAGGAGGAGGTACAATTCATCAAGAGCTTCGTTTTGTTTTTGTGGGTTTCCACGATTACACAACACTAACAACATAAGTACCATAACATATGGAGGTACATCAATAAAATTTCGTGCTGCCAAACTAAATTCAAATTCTAACTCTTTTATCATGATCATACGTAAGTCAATGTTCACCGCTACAGTTTTTCTCATTCTTTCCATAAGTGGCAAGCCTCCAATCTCTCTATCATAACACTCTATATCAACAATACGATCATAAATGATATAAGACTTTGTAATTTTCTCTTTTATCGTGCTGAGAAATTGTATCGCATTACTATTTTTACCGACTGTGTGCAGAAGTAAAGCAAAATAAATCTTATCCGAAAAAAATCCCATATCTGCACTAACTTTCAGCAATTTTAAGCAAACATTTAGAATTCTTAATCTTCCTTTGTTGCTAAGGTCGTTGGATGTTTTGTATAAATGAAAAACAGTGGATCTAAGAATTGTTGAAATATATTTCCTGAAGGTAACACGCTGTCTTTCATTGAGGTTAGGGACATGTAAGTTCTTGACTGTGGAATACAGAGTCCCAAAACAATGTCCAACATTTGAAAATGACATTGCCACTATGTCATTGCTATCAAGTTCATCAAAAAGCTCAACGTCTTTGTGGATTTCTGGTATGATATCAGATTCGGCAGTACTTATTCTGTACTGTCTACAACCAATCGCTCCAGTTAACACGTCTCTGATCGAACGGCATTGCAACAAGCACGTGATCCCTTGGTTGTACATTTCAAAAAGCTGCTCACACAATAATCGCTGTGAACGTCCAAATACTTTTGAAATGAATAAGTTGTTCTCGGTGATAAAAAAGTTTGGAAGATAAGCGTGATACACACATGACAATAAAAACTTGAAACACGACCAAAACCCTGACAATAGATTTGAAGGGTTCCAGTCTTTAACAGTCTCATTTTGAATAACCCAGAATAGAATGGTTTTCATAAAATATGAACAAAGAAGAGGTTTTCCATTTGAATCTTCCAAAAGAAGGACCTCTTTTAGAAACAATTTCAACAACCCGTAGCACATGAACTGTGTGTGATCCATACATTGAATGATTTTCTGTTCAGCTAAAGAGAATGAAATCCTCCATTCCAGATCTTCCTTTGGCGATCCTTTCAATCCTATTGGAACAACATGGCAACCCAAGGTGATGACGTCGCTCAAAACATGATTTGGTGGCCATCTTTTAGACTGGCATCTCGGAGTAAAAGAAGTGGCGACGGAAGGCCACTGTTTGCAGGCAAAACCGTAGGCAATGTCGTATTCTGTCTCACCATCCTGTCCACTCGCACAAGGACCATGCTGAGTAGAATTATGCCTAAATAAACCCATCGTATTTTCTCTGTATAGTGCACTTGATATGTATAAACCATCACAAATTCTAATACAAGATTGTCTGACAGAATCGTAATGTGTGGGAGTCAGTAGCTGCAACATAGCAAGTCCAGGGATTTCTTTCGAGCACTCCATTAAAATCAGAGTACATCTTTCTGAGTGGTATATATTTGCGTGATTTAATCCACATATTACTTGATGGTCCGTTCTCCAGCGCATACAGTCCACGTCCGAGGCTACCGAACCAAACCCTTCTCTACGACTTCCACCGAGACGAATTCTTTCTCCCTTTCTTTCTTCTGATTGCGTCCTTATAATCTCAGCAATGTCCAGTACTTCTCTTCGTATGGCCACTAATGTAGGCGTGCCTAGTATATCACACATCTCCACGTAAACAGCCTCCGAAATCCTGTGTATTTCATCCATTCTGAGTAAAAAAAATTAAAAAAGTAAATCATTTAAAACCACCAAATCTTTCGTAATCAAGTTGTGTTTGTAGCTCGTCTGTATGTCTGTCTGTTAATTATGTATTGACTTCTCCTGAACTAACTTCTAACTTTGCACAGAGTATCCTTGTGTAAAGAAACCACAGTTTGTTCAAAGAAGCTTTATTTTACTTTCCAAAGGAAAATAATCACGAAAAATACATAACACTGATCAAGAAGTAACTTGAATATCAAATGTAGCCCCTCCCTATCCCCGGGGGTTACCATATGAAGACATTTATTTTTGATTCTACATTTCATGAAGATGCTTCTGTATTGTTATGACTAAACATGGTTTTCCTGTTCTCCAAACGATTTTTCTTATACAATACTAGGTTTAACTGGTTTTGCCCTACCCTTGTTGCAAGGGGGTCTTGTTTTGAACAAACATGAATCAATTCTGCCTGCTGATGTTTTCTTATACATGTAAAATGACTCATTTTGACTTTACAGTTCTTAAAAAAAAAATTCCAGTTTTAGTCTGGTTTAGTCAATCCTAACTAAAGGTCGCCCATTGTGGTCTCATTTTCTCGAGTGTTATGATTTGAACAAACAAGTTAAATCTACAATACCTAATGATTCTTCCATATAAAGACGTACGAACCATATGATTTTGCTGTTCTGTAAAAGAATTTTAAAGTTTTTTTGTCAAAAAATTATTAGCGACTGTCCGACAAGATTTGACAGCAGCATGGTAATTATTTTTTCACATGGCACCTACTGGCTTCCTTAAGAAAAGTTGTGCCATGGTTGGTGGAATCCTGGTAGTTGGAGATTTCATTAAGTTGAAGCATTGTCTGCCCTTAGGATACAATGAAACCACCATACTGGACCAAAATTTTATATGAGAGAGAGAGAGAGAGATCACTGCGTTATAGCAAGATGAAACACGTTAAGAAAATTTATTTTTAATCATGGACCTTGACATTTCGTGAGGCTATACTAGTATATAAAACCTGCATCAAGAATATCTCCCCCTCCACCTTCCCCCGAACTAAGACGCGAAGCATGCTGTATTTCTATTATTACTAATCTTAAATTATATGGCATGCATGCTCCCTAGCCATCCCTTTTCACGTCAGGGAAGAAATAAGTTCATTTTGCAGACATCGTTATAAAACTATGATTTTCAAAGTTTTAAATTTAATAATTGAAACACCTAATGATCCTATATGAGAAACTAAAGATCTCAACCTTACCTACTAAGTATTTATAAAACCGTACGTTGACCTACACCATGAAATTATCTATCCCATATACAGAATGTTCATCACTTGACATGTCTATCGTAGAAAGTATATCTCAACGGAAAAAGAAGGTATGAATCATTCTCAAGGGCAGTATAATATTAAGATTACATCTACATTCTTTACGCTCTTCGCTAACAAAATAAGGGACCGTATAAAAGGATCTAATTTTTCTTAAAAGATATAATTTTTTTTTATCTGTCTTGTGGATCAAGGATTTTTCAATGAGGGGCGAAATAAACTTCTGTAAGTGGGGCCTAAACCCTCTCCAAGATTGCGATTTGTTATATCATGTACATGTAGCTGATTATGAAAGATGGCTGTATACAGTATAAACCATACTGAATAACTGTTCCTCAGACATTTTTATGGCACGCCAAATTCACAAAAATGAGATAATCATAGTTTCACAATCGATAAACTAGGTTTATCGGTTGTAAACTATAGTTTACGGACTGTAAACTATAGTTAACAACGTTAATCTATATTTAACATCTGTAAACTATAGTTAATACGATAATCTATGTTTCACAACCGTAAACTATACTTAACACTGAAAACAATCGTTTGCGATTGCAAAACATAGATTATCTGATAAATACAGTTTCACGATTTGTAAACTGTAGTTTACAAACCGTTAACTATAGTTAACAATCTGATAAATAAAGTTTCACGATTTGTGAAACTAGGATTAACAACTCCTAACTATAGTTTACCATTGTAAACTACAGTTTACAAACGTGAATCTATGTTTATCAACAAAATCTATTGTTAACGCTTATTACAGACAGAAAAACTTAGATTACCATTCGTAAACTATAGTTAACAACCGTTAAATATAGTTTTACAGATTAAAACTATACTTAACGAATCGTTAACTATAGTTTACGGTTTGTAAACTATAGTTTACAGTCGATAAACCTAGTTTATCAATTGTGAAACTAGGTTTATCTCATTTTTGTGAATTTGGCGTGCCATACATTTTTGTTTAACCTTGCTTGCACTTTTAATCTAGGGCGTGCTTGATTGGTAGGTGGAATTTTCGGAATTGGTGGAATTACAATCAAGTTCGCCGGAATTCAATTCCGGCACAGTTCTATCAATTCTGTGTTGAGAGGTGGTGTGAAAGGAATTAAAGATGGTGACTATTGTGTACATTTGTTAAGAGTGGCGATTAAAACATGTATGAAGTTTTTCCCTGTATTTGGACCCTAATACAGTCCTATAGACCTATTTGCAAATCAAAATTTAAATATTGTTCTCATATTATTCAAATCATGTTAATTTTAAGTTTACCTAAGAGCTGCTCACAGCATGATATTCTGTTCTTCACAGCATTCACTCGCATTTTCATCCTCCATTGCGTCTTACAATAAATCATTAAATAATATAGGAAGAAATTCTTTATTTTTCAAGCTGCAGCCATATTGTGAACTAATTCTGATTCCAGTTTTACTTGATTGGTAGAACTTTTGGAACTCTTGGAATTGAAATCTGACTTTACAATCAAGCACACCCCTAATGACAAAGAGGAGAGATTGTACTCTTCATTTTTTTAAATTTCTAGTTTTATGGCAATTTAGAATTTCTATCATACCCCCTACTAATGGCATTTGCCAGGAATATTCAATTTTTATTATAATTGGTTGCTTCAAATAAACTATTATTTCAATAGACTAAAGAAGACTTGCCTTGAACAGGTCGAGGAAACTATTTTCTGTGACGTCGGAATAAATTTACATGTTAAGTGAGGAACCAACGTGACTGACAAATCGACCAATCAGCTCAATGAGTTGCATTATGGTCTACTACAAAAATACTACACGTGTGTTTCTAAAAGGCCAACTTTTTAAATCGCGCTCGGAAAAAAGTGATGCATTTTTCCAAGCATTTTACACACTTAATACAATATGAACATCATTATCTACTGATTCCATGCTCACATTTACATACAAATGATTTACAATGATAAAAATTAGGTTTTCTCCACTCCATTGTACAAGTCCGTTTGTTGACAGCTTTCTCCGTGCTGTACTGTCAGTGAAAAGTCAATTTCATGTGACTATTCCTTGGTCCAAAAACAATCAACTCTGAGGTGTGCTCACGTATTGTCAATGTTTATAACGTACACAACCTAAAATACCGGTATATGCTACTCATGTTTTCAATGTGCATAATGGTTTATATAACAGGTAAATATTTAAAAAAATGCAACTTATAATTTTTTTTTTGATAAAACGCAAGTTTTAATTTCTTGTAACAAATAACTGAGCAACAACTCCATAAATTTAACCAGTAACATGGCACATTAACGAATATCGAGTTAAAAAAACTTGAGTCGCATTTACTGGTGAAGACTTTGTGAGCGGTATTTCAGAGTTCTATTTAACAAGGAAAACTTACTTTGTTTGTTAATGTGAGCATGGGGAATCTTAATTAGTACCAAATCTTCGTATTTTTCATGACAAATTTAAAAAAAATTGTTAGCTGACTTTCCTGCAGTCGTTTGAAATCGCGTCCTAAAATTCTCCGAGCCACGTGTTTGTAGTAAACATAAACATGTAGTAGACCATCATGCTTTTCGGCTCATTCACTGGATTGGACAATTGTTTGCTGTGAGCACCTCTGTGCGCAATCGCAACAATATCCATATAAGGTAGTTTCCTCGACCTGTTGAAGCAGTCCCATTTTAATACATGCAAGTTATAGCGGGAACTTTAAGCGGTGACGTTGACTTTCCCAATTTCGTAATTTTAATTACTTGATCGCATGTTGTTTTACGTCTACTTCCAGAATTTTTTCACTCAAAGACTTCATCATATACAGTTAAATGGATTCTTTAATTGGCACATTCAAGTTATTGCGCTTTTCCATATTTTAGCAAGACATGTTTCATGTAGATATATATATATGATATAATTTTTTTTTTCTATTTCGTTTTCCGCTCTCTATTCTTTGCCCATGCATGCCAGGGATTTTTCGTGAATATGACTCAGTCAATTTGTATGTAATAATGAAGGATTAAATATAAAAATCTTAATAAAATATATCGTTTTTCAAATAATTTGTGCATTTTAAGCGATTTGATTTGAAATCATATTTTTCGCTTTCCTTCTGTTCTGCTTTGCGATCCGTTTTCTGTTCCGTGTTTAGCAACACCGCTCAAATCCGTTAAGACTAAGGAAAGTATTTACCTAATTACCTATATATAGATTCTGGCTCCAACGCTGGCATACAGGCTGAATTCTGTGATATTGGATAATGTCTAACATAAGCTTATTAATTAACACCTTTTTTTATTTTGTCATATGTCAAATTGGCCCTAGTATTTACTAAATAACTTTAGGCAATTCCATATTTACATTGTATATGTGCTTTTGGAAAAAAAAAAACCAGCACTAAACTACAATACTTTTCAGTGAAAAAAAAATTGAAAAAAAAAATCAAATTTATTTTTGTCTTGCATTTATTAAGGACGGAATATAAAATAAATATGATTTTTATAAATAAATATTCCAGCAGATCAAGTAACAGCTAGTAGCTCATTGGCTCATGGTTCAATAGTAGTTGGTTCACAATGACATTCAAATCATTTAACATCTTTACATCTGTTGTAGCTGTAACAATTCACAGATAAAGTCATCTGCACTTACAAGTACATGTACATGTATCTATAAAAACATTACCGTATATACTCGCCTATAAGTCGGTTTTTTTGGGAGTTAATATCTGATCCAAAACTCTGTGTCCGACTTATAGGCGAGCTATAAAAAGAATGATATTATATGAGGTCAATACATCTGATATAAGCTCCTGAGTACAACCGACTTATAGGCGGACCGACTTACAGGCGAGTATATACGGTATTTTCTATTTTTCTACAATTCTTCATACTTATTTAACGAGGCTAGGGGGTGGCAGCCATTTTTAGACTATTTCAATCTCCTTTAAAAGGAGAGCTCCATATAAAGATATACAAAATGGTAAAATTTTAAAACTAGAATTTATAATTTTTTTCTTTGCCAAATGATAGTTGACAGCTAAATGTACCGTATATAAAAAATAAGTTAAATCTGGTGGTTCATTTGGGATTGAATTGTTGACCCGCAAGCCTCCTTAAACAATTGTTTCAGGAAAACAATATTCATTTTTGTATGAAAATGTGTTTATCTAACATCCAGTATCTACTTTACATTTCAATGAAAAGAAATTTCAGAGGTGAAAAAAGAGAAAACATTTGATCATTTCCGGATTGATTTCACTTAGATCAATACTATACTCTGTCTAAATTTCCTTTCTAAACTGTTAATTATATTCAATTGATATTATTTTTAAGGAGGCTTGCGGGTCAACAATTCAATCCCAAATGAACCACCAGATTTAACTTATTTTTTATATACGGTACATTTAGCTGTCAACTATCATTTGGCAAAGAAAAAAATTATAAATTCTAGTTTTAAAATTTTACCATTTTGTATATCTTTATATGGAGCTCTCCTTTTAAAGGAGATTGAAATAGTCTAAAAATGGCTGCCACCCCCTAGCCTCGTTAAACAAAGTTTTTTTTTTACTTAACACAAACACTTACATAAAATTCAAGATTTCAGGTGCCACATCATTTACATACTTATATGTTTTACGGTGTGACCGTTGGGGCGAGCGCAGTTTATTTACTGTCAGAAACCCACACATGTACAGTCTATCATTCAAGAAAAAGAAAGCAAAAATAATAAAACAAAACAATTAAAAGAAATCATTTCCAAAGCATCGGGATCGAGATTCCAAACTTCTCGGAAATGTCCGACAAAATCGGAAATACCCGAATCGTAGAAGTGACGAAAGTCTGACGTCAGAATGAGATAAAAAGTTCTGTTGATTTAGAACGCAAACGCTAGTTTTATGGAAAAGAGATTGCATTAAATCGTTCTTTTCATGTAAGTTTTTGCTCTGTTTTAGCCGAGTTTCACGGAAGCAACCGACATAAGTTCGTCAAAATTCGTAAGTTTCCGGTGACACTCGGAGTTCCTCGGATGACTCGTACCTCGCACTGAATGGAGTGTAGCGGAGTCAGCCGAGG